CACAAAAGGGAAAGCTTCTCAGTTAAGCCTGCATTAGATAGGTAAGATATTTGAGGAACTTCTGTTTCTGGTCTTATTCTGGGTGCTTCCTGTACTAACTAGATTCATCCGGAGATGGTTATCCTCACAAGCTGGTATCTATTACACTGGCACCTGTGTGCCTTATAAACTGAGATGTTCAAGATCTCAATGAAGAGAGTACATAACAAGTTCGGTAAGGTATGTGGGTTCTTCTGATATAAGGGGCACTACCACTCCAGGGGCATGAATTGGAGTGTTACTCCAGAGCTGAGCCAAAGGTAAATGTTATCGATGTCTAGTGGAAAGATCAAGTTTCTCTTCTTTAATGTATCTAATAACTTTCCAAGCTTGTAATCCTTTCACATTAATGGAAATTAACCTAAAACTACTAAAATAATATATACTTGTAATTTAGCCAGCATTAGCAATTAAAATCACACAAAGAACCACTCACAAGTTGTCAGTAGCAGCACAATATATTCAGAGTCCAAATGGAATCGCTACCATTGGCGTTAATCTATTAAAATCAAGGACGATTTCAACTTTGTCATAAAGTCACAATGTGAAACTAAAAATAATGAATGCAGCTGGCTTTGCCAGTCCCCAACAGAAACATATTTCAGCTAATTTAAAGTAGGTCTAGCACCAACTCATAAATAACTTGCTTCTCAATACTTTTACAATACACTACGCTTAAAATGGAAAGCTGCACACTGTGATTATCTGTAGAAAGGGAATAATGAATTATGAGCAGGTCACGCTCAGACCTTGTTAAAGCCGGTACTTAATAGCCAGCCTTGTAGCATTGCTGACGTGTAAATGGATATATGTACAAATTTGGGCAGACCCTCAGCTGACTGTCATCATGCTCTTAACTTAAATGAATTGAATAATGGCAGTTTTACACCAGCTGGGAATCTGTCTCCCTGTAATTCCTGCAATAAAATGGAGAGAAGTTAAGAACAAGATAATCCTGTGAGGATGGGGCTAATGCTTCCAAAAATATCTCATGTAGATGTGGGAAGGATGTGTGTGTGTGTCAGTAAAATATAGCAAAGCAATATTTGGAAGAGGAAGGAGTTAAAATAAACAAAAGTTCAAATAAAGTAAGAATCTCCTTGTAGTAATAAAAAGGAAAGGCTACCAAAGTGGAAGAGGGAAAACCCACTTGAACAACTCTTAACGTGACATGACATGACCCTAATGCTCCTGAAATCCAAGTACTGTAGACCGCTAGGACATGGGCACCTGTCAGTTCCACAAGAAAAATAAATGCCTCTATAATGTAACATAAAGAACTATGCAAAATCAAAACCTGAAAACAGTTCCAAGGCTCCTTGATGCAAAAATTCAGCAGACATGGGTAGATAGGCTATAAAAAGGTAGGAAGGGGAAACATACATGGAAGAAGGCAAGGGAGAGAAATGGAGCAAAAGAAAGGATGAATGAGGGTCAAGGAAAAGAGGAGACAAACCATTCACAGGAAAAAGTACCTTGGTAATAGATATGCTATCTGCTCCACCCATGCCAATAGAAATGAGAATCCTGTAAAGACTAGCTGTGTGTGGGAGTGCTGGTTCTGTGGGATGGTGCTAACCTTTCCCTGCCCCTGTAAATGCCCCTGAGAGATGGAGCTGCAGTGTAGGAGGTGATGGCAAGTATCAATTTTCCATTGCAATGTTCATCTGTCAGATTTAGCAAGGAAGCTAATGCTGGTCCTGTTCACTTCACTTCTTTTCTGATCTGCCTCCTTCCACTGCATCCCCAGAAGGTAGGCTCAGGGGAGCTGTGGCTGGAAGGATGTGCTGTGAAGTTCCTGGTAACACAGCTCTGTTGGAGCCATATGGAACTTGGAGAGTCAGAGAGGGGGAAGGTTGTGGAGAAAACAAGGAGCACTGGGCCTCATGATATGTAGACCTGTCTCTGCTGGTTAGGAGGTTGAATTTTTCAAAGAAATAAGCTCAAATTTGAACTGCAAACTCAAATTCATGGTGATTCTAGCCTATACATGGAGAAAGCCACCATGATGGATGTCATGACCTTAAGGGAAGAAACAGAAGTAGAAAAAGGAATAAAAGGAAAAGAGGTAAAAAACAAATTGGGGAAGGCAGACAGAAATAAAGAGGGGGAGATGGAGGAAAAACTGACAAATGCAGGCCTTGAGGCTCAGATTGTTTTAAAATCCACATAAATTGTCCACTGAACCAGCGCTTTTATACACTCTTGTTTTTCCTTTCACTAACAGATCTTAGTTTCCTTCAGTTCTTAATTTTCCCCATTTCTTGTTCCTAACAAATAATGCCGTGTGGCTAGCGCTTCCAAAGCCTTGTTTCAGTTAAGAGCAGTTTAGCCTCTACACAAACAGACCCAAAATCTGGCTTACGTGTTTGAAGTTCCGAAATGGCACAAATTGGACGATGTCCCGAAGAACTGGCTCACCCTTGGGGGACCTCAGGATCCCGTCATCACCATCTAGCATCTGCATGTCACTGAAATCAGCATTTCCAACCCCAACAATGATGACAGACATAGGCAGGTGGGAAGCGTGAACAATGGCTTCTCGGGTGTCAGCCATATCTGTGATCACACCATCCGTCAGAATCAGTAAGATGAAGTATTGCTGGTTTCAGGAGTGAAGAGGGAGAGGAAAAAAAATATTGGTTCATTATTTTAAGCACCATGACTTTTACACTATATCTCTCTCTCACAACCACTAAAGCAATAATTTTGGACCATGTCTGTTTTGAAAAAGAGAGCTTTCAAATGCTCCCAGAATATAGTGCATTTTCCTTATGAACAAACATCCTTTGGGTACAAGTCCTAGATTGTCCTTAGCTGGGTTTACCTGATTAATTTCTAGGAGTTAGGGAAAAGCCAAGGAAATTACTTTGCTGAAGAAAAGGGCATACTTCCAGCTGCTGGGATCAAGACTTGTACAGTCTTATGCTGCCCAAGTCTGTATTCTGTGTCACTTACTCTCCTCTACTGGTGGTTCCTGGATACATTCTTTGGCTGGGAATCAGAGGAAGAAGAAGAAAGGTGGAGACAAAAGAATCACCATGGAATTATAGCAGCTCTTTGCAGAGTGCCAGCTTTGCAATTGTGGAAGGTGCAGGTTACCCATACCATGACATCCATAAAAGGACTGGTGGCAATGGAAAGAGCCCTTCTGTGATCTGGAAGAATGACTGAAGCCCTACCAGGGAAAGGGTGAGGTGGAAGTGGAAAAATGAATATGGAACTCACTATATCCATTTTCATACTCTCCATGCAAAACTCCTGAGGACAGGTTTTCTCATTCTCTACTTTCTGAGGGTAAGTGTTTTGGTATCTTGGGATATAAGATCTTCATTTGATAATGAAGAAGAATTACTTGTAGTTGGTTCTTTTTTGGGCAATAAGGAAGCTGAAGTACTGGAGTGTAAAGGATTGTACTTTAGAAACAAACTGTTTCTTATATAAGGAGCAGCAGAACTGTTACTGTATGCATGGTGACAACATAGAAAAACAGAACAAAAGGAAGCCTTGTTTACAATATCATACAGACATACATAAAAAAACCCAAACACATGCACACATGTTCACTGCCTTCTGCATGTGGAAACAAAAGAACACCAAGAAATGTTTATCTTTAAGTCATTCAGCAATATCATTCCCTTTTTGTATAAAAGCACAGATGTAACCAAGCTTAGGTGTGCAAAACACTGCCTGCAGTTTCTTATATTTTAGTCAACGAAAGTTCCCTTGAACGTGCCTCTCAGACACGCAGTGATGCAGTTATGACCACAAGTTAAATTAAAAGCTAAATAAAATGCATGCAGCACTTTTCATTTAGAGATGTCAAAATTCCTTACACAAGTGGCTAAACATTAACATCCCTATTTAAAAGGTAAGGAAACTGAGGCTCAGAGAGGTGGAGGAACTTGTCCAAGGTCACACATTAATTCAGCAGCAGAGCTAGTTCAGCACTTCCCTAAATTATTTCAGTCACAACTGCATTTACAGGCAGACAATTTTGTGCAAATTGCCCAAGTATAGTAGTTGTATACACAGAGCTACTACTATTAACGTGCCTGCAGTTAGCAAGGAGCAGAGACTTACCATGCCTCAGCTACTCTGTAGGACTTCTCCTTGTCCCCTCCTGCAGGAACTCTCACCTCCCAATGAGGGCTCAACTAGGGCATTTACTCCTAGTGTAGAAGAGTTAAATTGACCCATACTGGGTCCTACTTACTGAAGGGCAAGTGTGGGCACAAAAATAGTTCCTAAGGCAGGAGGTGAGGTGCGGTAATGCTCCACCCTATTAGTGAAGGGCATACGAGGTAAGTGCGGCCTTGTGGGATTTAGAAGATCTCTGGGAGTCACGACCTGACTCATAACTACCACAGCCTCTAGTCTGGAGACAAGTGGTCTAATTTCTAAAGGTTACATCATGTTATAATTCACCACTCTTCCTCTTCTGCATTAAACTACTCTATATAAAAATGTGCTAAGAGTTGTGCTAACATCCTGCAGACATATACCAGATAGAGGAAGAAAGCTTAGGAAAAGACCCAACTGAGATGAAGAGCATGCACCACTGTATAGACCTGTCCTAGCATGATACATAATGCAGTTTTCTCCTCTGAGGCATGCAAGGATTTCTTTGACTTCTGTCTCCAACAGCTTTGCTAGACCTGCAAATTGTCAGAGCCAACTGTATATAAGGTAATACATTTTCTCCCTCGTTTTGAGTCATTTTGGATAGTATGAAAGAGGAAGAATAAGTACATTACATTTCTACCATATGCATTTAAATCATTCAGCTTAGAGAAACTGCCATGCATGTCAGGCTTACAGACTTATTATTAGTTCTAAAGTAACCTAACTATGGCAGCAAGAGCAAACTAAAAGCTCTATAACCATAGTTTTCAGACTGAGGGGGTACATCTACATATGCGTTTTACTACGGAGTCGACTAATTAATAAAGCGTTCCTATCTACATGTGCACCCATATTAGGGCACAGTACATTAATTAACTCTGTGGTAGAACAGTACTGTCCAATAGGACTGTGCGAAACTTCAGCAGCTGTTTCATTTTGGAGGCGTTCTGGCCCGTTTCGGTGCCTGAAACACCAAATCCAAAATGAAACAGAAGGCTCTGAAATATCTCTGAAACGAAACAAAACCATCTGAAATGTTTTGGAAAGTTTTGGAGTTTTGGAGCCGGGCTTGCAGGGAAACAGAAACTAAGAATAGGGTGGGGGAAGAAGCAGGGAAGGACTGCTCTGATATTTACATCTGTAGCTGTCCAGTGTCTGCGACCTGTCCCTGAGATCTCTTCCAATCCCAGTGCTCTGGGGGAGGGACAGCAGCCTGCTGTCATCCCAAACGCAGATCCCGGGGCCTGTGTTCCCCAGGAGGAGTCTGCCGCTAATGGCAAGTGATATGAGTTTTCCTTTGTATAGTTTAAGGTGCAATTTCATACAACCTCCTGCACCTATATCCTTGAAACTGGCAGCCTTCATGCCCTCAGAAGGGGCTACCATTCTTGCAATTGTCCTCCGAATCAGGCAAGAAATGACAAAGTTATAGGCATTTTAGTGATTCCCCATTATAGCCCATGGCCCGGAGCTCTCTGCCCCAGCTCAGCATGCTACAGTTTTGGGCACACATGTAAGCACTGCACCTGGGAGAAATAAACTCCAGCACAAACTGTGCTGGAGTTTATTTCTTCATCCTAATTGCACCCAAGATTAGATATGATCCTGGAACAGCACAGAACTGGAACAAAAGAAGTTCCTGTTCACTCTATGCAGTTTGGTCTAAATGGGTTGTCTGCAGAGGAATTTTTCTTAACCATTCATGTTTACCACCAAAAACTTGTGGCCCATGGGACAGATTCGACCTATAAAGAGACTGAATCTGGCCCACAAAAGTCTGACCTTAAGTCTGCATTTTATCGTGAGCCTGGCAATCCCCAGCCATTTGATCTGGTCCGTGTTTTGCTAAGGGCTTACAAATCACCTTTGGTTGTTCTAGCGAGCTGCTCCAGCCTCTGTTTGCTTTCACTGGAGCAATTGAACGGGAATGGTAGCTGTGGCACTGGCAAGGTCACAAGTTGCATCTTGCATTAGTAAGAGGTTGCTGATCCTTATTCTAAGATCAATGCAGTTAAAGCAGAATCTGTAAAATTTTGTATCTTATGCTGTCATTTATGCCTCTGAAAAGTGAATCTACAGAGCTACCATACTGATTTCTGGTATACTTTGGGTTACCCTGGGTATGGCAACAACACTGCAACACTACTACATCCTGATTTGAAGCCTTTTTCACAGACATAGATGACTGCATGAGGTGAAAGGCAGTGGAAAAATCAAACATTTCTTTTTTTCTGTCCAGCTTACAAATCAATAAGCTTTAAACAAGATCTTTGTAATGTAGTCATTTGTAAAGTGTCCATCACTACGATATTGATGTAAGTGGCATTTGCAGTGTTAGCAATCCACAGAATATCAAGTGGCTTCACAGAAATTGTGATGTAGCATGGTGAAACAGAACGTGAAAAGAGAAACATATGACTCTTCAGAAACATCTTTCAAGGAATCTGAAGATAATGCCGCAATCTGAATGTAATTACAGAAGATAAACAAGGCCAGTAGGAATGGGGAGGGAGGAGCTTAAAAGGGATTTATATTTTAGTAATAAGTAAACAAATTGAACTCTGCATCTTCTCTATGGATATCTTTGCTGAAAATTTAAAATAAGCTTACAAGGGTCACTGGCAGCATAGTAGCCATGAATAAGTTGCTGAAGGCCCTGCACAAACCATTTGGCTTTCCTGTACCACTGATAATTCTTCTATGAAACAATGGTAACAGCACTTTGTCCTTCTACAGCACCTCTTGTCCAAGTTTCTCAGGAAAAGGCATCAGTTTCATAACACCCATCAGACAAATCCCTTTTTTTTTTTACTGGCATCTCCATTTTATAATGGAAATAGTGGCCTTAAGCAGCTTAGTGACTTGCCCAGAGACATACGAGAGATTCGATTTCCAGAAGTTGTTGGTGCTGCCTCCCACTGAAGTCAGTGAAGGACAAGTGCTTTTGCCATCCCTACCTAAGGAGTTTGCAGCACAGACAGGAACAGAACCCACTTCTCCTGGCTCCTAGCACTGGACTTTGCCTCAAGGTCGCTGCCTTTCTTTGATTGAGTAAAGGGTATTTCAAAGCTTTCATAATAAGGTAATCTGTGCTATGCTAATGCCAAGTATTATTATTGTTAAAAGATATATTATTATACATAACATACATTATTATATATGTATTATATATTATAGATAACAATAGTAGTGATGTTATTGCAGGGGTCTAAGATGCTTTGCAAAGAAGGAAATCCATATGACAACCCTGGCTTTACACAGTCTGAAATCCTGACAAACTCATGACGGTAGGGTGATCCTATCAGATATGTCTAACAAAGAAGGATTGGTTTGGGTGAACCTGTGCACATGGATCACGAAAGTGCCACAGGAAGGGGTGATGGTCACTTACTAGAAAACACCACAAGACACTATTGTTTTGCATGAACTTTCTGGCTGTTTTCTGGAGAACTCATTTTACTTTTTGCCAATTAAACATTCCCTTTTTGTGGATGAATATCTTTTAGATGGAGATCTTATATGCCACAGATTACAGAAATAATCTTTAAATAATGTTCTCCAAGTCTCTCTCATCACAGTTTCATTACTCAGTGTGACTCAGTGACCATAGACATGGATTTAGACATTGTATGGTGAGGTTGCAATACAAATGATAGAATGAGAGACAAACAGGGCTGAGAAGGATCTCAGGAAATCATATGGTCCAACCCCCTGCCCAAGGTAGGATCATTTCTATCTAAAATGTTGAGTAAGCTGAAAGTAAAAGTTGGGGTAGGAAGAAATAACACAATGTTCCTGAACAGGACATCTTCTATACTGACAAGTCTTAATTACCTGAGATAAAGGAAAAGATTATTGGATTATTCTTAGTCTAGGTAAAGCAAACTCATACTTTACCTAGCATGAGTATGAGCACGAGTATATACCTATTAATTTCTTATATCTAAGCATGCCATTTTGGCTAGGGACAGACATTACACATAAACTAGTTTAAGTTATCAGAAACTGGTTTAAACCTGTAACCGAACAGATGTTCAGTGCACATAAACCAGTTTGAAAATGGCTGAAACTGGTTTGAGATAAACCTGGTTGAATGTAGTATCAGACTTAACTGATTTGGGTCAAACCGGTTTATGCAGTTTTCTGTCCCCAACCTTCCTGACTTTCAATAAAGATGAGCTCCAACCTTGCCAGGTCACTATTCTTACCGAAGCCTCCTTCGTGTTGGTCTCCTCTGATGCTGATTTAGCCACCTTCTGGATGATGGGAGCAATATTTGTCGGCCCGTAAAGCTGTAGCTTTGGAAGGCAGCTCTGATACGCTTCCACAACTCCTTGTATCCCTTGGAATAACAAAGAGAAAATAAAAAGACTTCAGAGGCAAGCTAATAAGCAGCGTATCCCTGGTATCATGTTTGCTGATGTAAATAGAAGTTAAGCCCACTTCATCCTATTTTTAGATGAATTTAAGATTTCATGCAGTTCTAACTCAAGAACTAAATGGCTCCATTTTCTTTCAAAGAAGCGGTTGTTTCTGCCTCATAAGCCTTTTGCTCTTATGCAATATATAATTCATTGTTTCACTTTCTCCTTAGCAGAAGCATTTAAATGTACATTTTGCAGGTATTAGTTCTACTATGAGGAGTTAGCAAGCACAATCTGTGAATGCATTAGACTCATGTTTGCTAGAGGCTGTAAGTCATCAGTTAGGCACCGGTGAATGTTCACGCTAAAGCAACATAGATTTTTGTTAAGAATCCCTTTGATATATTTCCTCTTACTCTGCAGGCAATTATTTTGCATCATCAAGCTAGCTTTTGACCCACTCCCACTTTGTTTAAACAGACCAACATTTGTTAAGAAACCAGAACATATACTAAATGCCTTACTTTCTGATGTTATAGAAAATGTTTTGGGGTGAATTTGCATAATGACTGTCAGGGTAAATGTGAAACCTGAGCAAAAGTTTTAGAAGTGAGAAGAAATAGAAGAGCACTTGGCTGTCTCCAGAACAATAAAATTCAATCAATAGGTCTTGATGAGAACTAGCCATTCTTGGCTATTTCATCTCAGGGCATTCAGGCAGACGAGAGAAAATTGCCTTTTGCAGACACTTTTACAGATCAGAGCACGGGGACTGGTTATATCTCAGCTCCTTTTCCTTGGAAATAAGAATCTTCTGAAGTGATATACATTAGCTGCAATATTTAGAACTTCCAACCTACCTTGAAACCTAAAGCATTAAAGACTCAGTGTTAGAAAGTAAAGGGTTGAAGAACTTTGAAGGAGGATGCTAGACAGTGAAATAATTTTAGTAAGACCCTAATACGGTCTTGATTCACAGTGGAATTCTCACTGATGCCAATGGAATTTGTGGACACAAACCTAATTCACAAACCTACCAAATCAAAGGACTCCATAATTACATTATAAGGGTATTGCCTTCACTTGCTAGATTGGAACGATCAAGAGCAGGCCCTCCTGATCTTTACCTAGTGTTATGAAACCAGGGAGCTTATTTTCCCATCCACATACAGCAGTCAAAGGGAAGAGAAAATGCTTTAATGCTAGCTGTGATTAGCTGTTCAGATTGGAAATTTGCAGCAATATGTGACAAAATGTCCACTGGCAATTACAGTGATTAAATACCATAAAATGTAATGGCAGATTTTTTCTTGTTTTGGAAACCCTTTTGCTTAAATCCCAGTTGTGAAGCCATTGAGGAGCTCCTTATATACTTGTTCTCGCATTAAGGCCCGCATATCTATGTAATACTTATTAATTAAAATATTATACAAAATAAATCCCTTTCTCCAAGTTAGTGTGATATATTCTGAAGGATTTATTTGAATCAGTGAAGGAACTTCTTATACAAATGCATCATTTTTGCATAAAATTACTGGTGATGCCTTTCAAAAGATATTCACTTTTCTGACATACTATGATCAATTATCTCTGTAAGCCTAAAGCCTATTACAATTTGGGTAGCTCATCAGCCTTGAACATCCCTTTGCTTTTCAAGTTACCCAGTTAATCAATGTGCAACTTTCTTCACGTTAAATTAATAATCTTCCTGTTCATAATGCACTTTGAAAACTGTGGATAAAATACTCTAGTCTATTCAACTGCAAAGTGCGATTGTCTATGTGTACCTTCAGACAAAAGTAATTGCTCAGAATACAGGCTGTGCAATTTTACATCTGTTTTACTTTCTCAAACAATAAAAACCATGTAAGCTCAATCAAATGCCTGAATGGAAATTATGTAAAGCTTGTTTCTCTAAAAAGTGCCTATATAAAAACAGCCTCCTGGGTTTCCATTTTTATTGCAGCTTAATAATTTCTTTATCAAAAGCAGTCAGTCTACAGATAAATATTTTTTTCTAAGTGCCAGGCCTGCAAGCTCTGAAGGCATGCCTATTTGTGACTTGTATAAACATATCAGAGTTAGTCTTAACAGTGTGGTAGTGATGGAAGCATGGGATTCAATATAAACTCCAAAATCCATCTGGGACCCTGGGTAAATACTCAGGTAGTTAGACCACCCTAAGCTTAGTGCTACAACTATTGGAGCTATCTACTTCAAAGCTACATTAACACGACCTGAAGTCACAACAGGGCGGCTAGGATCTGGAACCAACTTCCAAGGGAAGTGGTGCTTCCTCCTACCCTGGGGGGTCCTCAAAAGGAAGCTAGACAATCACCTAGCTGGGGTTGTTTGACCCCAGTACTGTTTCCTGCCATGGCAGGGGGTCGGACTTGATGATCTGCTCAGGTCCCTTTTGACCCTACCAACTATGAAACAGTGACTGCAATGTAGACATACACTACAAGTTAAACCAGACTCTATTCAGCTCATGAATGGCCACCAATAAAAGAAGTTCTACAGGCCAAATAAGGAGCCATGCAACCTGAAGCCTTCTGAGATATTTTACCATATAGTTAGTGATGGAAACTTAGTAAGAAAATCTGCTGATGTACAAATTTAAAAAAAAAATCAGTTTCTGTTTTCTTAGGTCTGATGGCAATGAAGTACTAACGGGAATACTGCCACCACATGCACACATTAAGCCCTTATTTTAACAAGTGGTTTCCTGAGTCAAGAGGTGATACCTTTACATAGAAGCTGTTCAGAGAAGCATGATGCCTTATTGTTCACCCTGATATTAATGTTACATACTGGCCAATGACAAGTTTACTTTTCATATAAAATAGGATTTCATTCTTCAAAAGAAAAACAGAACACCAGTGAATCAAAAATATGTTTTTTCATAACAGGAGCCATCCATTTTAGCTTGAACCAAGCAGCAATTCACCAAAAAATATTGTTATCAAACTTACATAGTTTTTGAAAATATAACATCTATTATGTGCAAAATCCTTGCTCAATACCTCTCCCAACTAGAGTTGGTTCAATAAAAGATATCACAAAAACCCTTGCCTCTTCTGCCTTTAAACTCTTTCTTTCACCTCTTTTTTTTCCACAGGAACATTCATTTTACAGAGAAAGTATTGGCCTTGTTATGTTTTGTGCTATCTAATTTAACTAGGGTATCTGTGAAACTTAAAGAGAAATCACAGAATAATTAGTTTAGGAACTAAACAACAGACCATGGCAAGCAATTCATGAGCAAACTGCAAATAATGATTAAACTACATGATTTATGCTCTCTTTCTGGCCTTTACTTAGCTCAACATTATTTTAATGGTACCAAGCAAACTGAATAAGAGAAGCAGTTTTGATAGTTCCTTTTGAGTCTGTGGTTTTAAATTCTCCCCCAAACAGTCTCTCTCATGCTGCATCACAGCTTTCTACAGCTTCTTAGCCCTAAATATCTATGCGCTTGAAGTGTTAACTAATCAGATGACTAAGTCTTAAATACAGAAGGTAACAAATTTAAATGAACAACAAAAAACTAAGCCAATGCAGCATTCAAAAAACAACTAAGGAATGTCACAGTTCCTTCCTTACTTTTTCACTTCTTACCATCCCTTTTCCTGCATTTTCTTTTGTATACTTTTGTTTCTTTTGTATACAAGCTCCTTAGTCTTAGAACATTTTCTTGTATCTGTCAAGCATGAGGCACCCTGTTAAGTGTTATACTCCCTGCTGTAAGTCATGGCACTTCACAAAAAGCACTATAAATTAGAGTGACCCTTCCACCCCCCACATCCCCCCCCCCGTCCCCACCCCCAACTCAATAGACATTTGCTGCAGAGTCCAGGAGGGGTGGGGAAGGAAATTGAGCTCCACTTTGCAGGAAGGGAGGGAGAAGAGAAGGAGCTGTGGGCTGGAGTTTGCCCAGCTTGAGCTGGAGGAGGAAGGGGAGAGCTGAGGGCAGGGCTCCAATGCAGCCACCCGCCCCCAACTCCAGCTCAGGCTGGGCAAACCCCAGCCCGCAGCTCCTTCCCGCTCCCTTCTTCCCCCTCCCTTCCTGCAGAAAGCACCAGGGACAGGGCTGGGCTGCATTTGCTGAGCCCCAACTGCAAACAGAAGTTTCCAAAGTCAATCCATTTTGGAGTGACTTTATCTGATCCCCCATTAGATGAGGGCTAATTTGTCATGCGATTGGGCACTTTTAAAGTGCTCAGCAGCTGTGCGTATGTGTCATGGCATGGCTGTAGACTGCTTTGAAGAGGCTGATCATGTGACAAATGTCATTTCTGTATGTTCCCTTTAACTTTCCTTGGTAAGCAGATGAAAATGCTGTGCTAACCCTCCAGGTTATCCAAATCAAATTGAGGAACTTGAGTTCCATAGGCTGAGGAAGCAAGTATGCACACAATGCTGAGTTTTCACACTTACCAGAATGCACATAAAGCTGGATTATCTACTAGACCCATATTAGAAAGACTGGGTTAAAGATGCATGACAGCTGAAATAAATAACATGGTGAACAGAGAAGTGCAGACCTTTACTGCCATTTTTTCCCTTTATCACTTCCTTTTTTCTTTTCTGAACTCCATTTCCTTGCCTGTTTGAACATGCGGTTTACTCCTGGTCCTGAGCCTATTTTCCTTCTCCATATCAGTTTTGAATGAATACTATGGAAAACTCCATAGTAGCATAAATTAGCAGTGGAGGAGACAGAGGGAAAAGAGTATTTCCAAAGGGCTGTTTTATTGATCAGAGAGAGGAGGAATGACCTAGCATAGTAATACAAGCCTGAAATAGTGACAATCATCCAGCAAGGTGTTTTAACAGTGTTCTCATGGGAAAGCCTCTGTATTCCCAGCTCTGATATAAAGAGAGAGCACTTTTAGTTTCTCTCTGTAATACTTGTGCAAAGTAAGCAGTGAGTTGTGTCAGAAGAGATTAGTGTCAAAGCATCAATCATTACTGTATGTCACTTATAACTACAACACATTTATCTAAATCTAGTCAACAATTTTAGCCTCTTTAACTACTGTTATTAGCAATCAGTGCCAATTTTTAGTTCAGCTTTCAGATAGAAAAACAAAGACCAAATTCTATGCTGCATTAAGATGGGCTTGTGGTGTGTGGCTCACCTAGCTGAGGGAATCCTCCTGAGACACACAGCATTCCCCTCAGCCAGAGTTAAAATTTTGGGCAAATAGAATGCTGCAATTTTAAGGAGTGACTAGTAATCCTGGGTGGCTCAGTTACTGGGTGTTCAACCTGATGTACTTCGAGGGCCTGCTTTTCAGAAAGTAGATGCTTGGCACTTTCTAAAAATTAGGCCCTGTTAAGGCACTTCAAGGTGAACACTGCAAACACTGCATCTAAAATCACTAACTAGTTAGAAATGTTTGTCCATTCCCCTCAGTGGGCATTTTAAACAATTACCAGTACAAGCCATGAGAAGCACAGTGGTACTTTGCTTATGGCTGAAGTACAGCAGTTGATTTTCCTTAATGTAGGCATTACCTGCACATTCTGGGTTGTCTTCATTGAAGTTGATTGCAAAATCATGAGAGACCTACATAGACACCAAAAAGAAAAAGAACAAAGCTTTAGAACTGGAAATTGGCTCCAAGTTGCCTTTTGGCTTTCAAACAAATACCCATCACACTCTTCCCGTTTTAAACCACACAATTCTTGGATCCAGTCATGTGAAATTCAGAGTGAGTTGGAACTCCCCGCAGAGCTGCAGTGACATAAAAATTTGCTGGAATCAAAGAAGCATCTGCCAACAAAAACAAACAGACAAACAAGAGAATATAAAAGAACACTTAAGCGTACACAATCTCAAGAAAATATGCTGCCCAAAAAGTGGTAGTAGTGTTGGCCACAAAAGAGAAGCTTATATTTAGGAAAAGCTTTAGAAGCATGTTTATAGTTCAAAAGTACATTCTGGATGAGAGTTGAAAAAGGTTCATCCTGCAGACATCATTCCCGTTAGCTAGCAGTAACGCACACAAAACCAATTGGCACTACCCTTCAATGTGAATAAGTAGTTTACAATCTGGCCAGCTACAAGGACGAAAAAAAATGTAACTGACTGCATTCATAAAGGTAAGAAGAACAACTGGTGCTTAAATTTGAAGTGGGGAACAAGAAGAAAAATCCATGATAAAAATCCCAAACATGCAAGATTTTCTTTTTTTTAGGGCTGGAAGGGACCTCAGAAGAGCATCAAGTCCAG